CCCCAAAACCCCAAAACCCCAAAACCCCAAAACCCCAGAACCACGATTGCAAATTGAACTTAGTTTATTCCTGAGGAGTCAGATAAACAACCACTCAAGTGCAGTCATCTATATTGCTATCTTTAGTTTTCCACCTTTCGTATGCTTCATTGACTATTATTTTTGCAACAGATTCTGCTGGTTTTGCTCGAAGTTTCCAGACATAATCAGCCAAACTATCATTAGTGAAGACATCATAAATTCCATCACTTGCTAGAATGAGGGTAGATCTGGAGTCTGGAATATCAAATGTCAAAATATCAGGAGTGGATGTTAATCCTCAGCCTATAATATCATAAAAATCCTTTCAAATAGAAGGAAAAAGCTTGATCATACCATTATCTCCTTTGCCAATATGATCTCCTATAGACCTTGTCATTGCAACTCCTGGCTCATTTTGACCCTCGTTCCAGACTCTTAACGGTCCTTGATTATATGCTTGTCTGACAACACCCCCACTGTTAATGATTCTGTCGCTTTCTTTTTGGTTTTCTCAGTTGTGATCAACTGTGGTCTCAATATGGATTTTCACTGATTTGCGACCTATTGTTATGTTAATCAAAGTACCTGACAAGATTTTGGATATGCCATCTCTTCTTTTGCTTCACTAAAATACTTAAATTAGAGATATACCTCAGTACTTTTTGAAATCTCTGAATTTTCCTTGAGAATATTAACCTAGAGATGAGTAGGTGATTTACTTTTTGAAAGTTACAGAAAAGAGCTCTTGAATCTCCAGTATTTGCAAGGAACAACTTCTTTCAAACTTCATCACCCTCTGTGCAGTCTTTGATTATACCAAAGACTCATGTTGTTCCACTGTAGTTACTTTCAATTTGACTATTTGAGTAAATTGTTATCTATCTTCTCTACACAGTCAGTGATAACTTGGTCAATCGGATTTTTGCTGTTGATTAGGTTTTTCCTAATTAAATTGGGAAGTTTTTCCTTCACATATTCACTAACAAGATGGCCATTTACTCCATGGCCATCAAATACTCCGAATATATCAATTTTGTTATTGGAAGAATATTTCGGAGCCTCATTTAAGTGAATATTAAACCCCTTTTTCTGAGAAAGTAAGAGGTTTATTGATGAAATAAATCTATCTTGGTTTGGCTTCTCGGAATTATAAAGGTTAAGCCCTAGGATATGATATAATACCTACCAGCTCTGCTGAATCCTCCATGTTTAATAGAGATTCCTTTCTTCTTGGAATCTTTAAAATCCAGAAACCCCAACATTTTATCAGAATTATTTGCAGTATTTTTCTCTCTAGCCTTCAGGTTGTGGTCTGAAAGACTATTAGTCAGCTTCATTTTATTAGTATCTTCATGAATCTAAAATCCCAACTGTTTATTACCTTCCTAATGACAGTTTTAGTCGACATGACAGAATTGTCTGTCTTCCTACTGTAATTTCGCTTTCTCTGAAAATTTCTATTTCCGTCTAAGGAAACTTTGGCTGCATGAAAGTAACCAATGTTTTTAGGTTTCAGAGCACTAAAATTAAGCAAGAATTTACACAGTATTTGAACTATTTCCTAAGATGAAGCATTGCACTTTCAGTTTGGCAGCCCTCAGATGGACTCATCTTCATGTTTACAATTTGAGGAAACCTTTGCCTTGATTTTTCTTTAGTGATTATGATAAATCAAAATATTTACTCAAGTAATCCATTGGATTAGATCTTTGGGGATATGATTTCTTAGGAGGTATTACAGAGGAGTAACCTTTAATTTGGCCCATAGTATCTCTCGAATTGTCCCTTTCAGGCTTCTTGCTAGCAACAAATTTTATTTTCATTATAGTTTCATCTAATCTTTAGTATATAAAATACTCAGACTCTTCCTTTGATTTTTAAAAGAGTGAAGTTCTTCATGAGTCCCGCTCATTTTACTTGGATCATTAAAGAAGCTTTTAGGGACTTTTTCAATACCTATAAAGCCAGTCTTAGTTTAAATATCTCAATTTATTGTGGACCTTACCTGCATTATCAAAAGATGATGGAATATTTCTCTCAGCATCAGGCCCAATATTATTTTCATCAGGAGAACTCCCGGTACTGATGCAGGAGAGCCTCTTGCTAAGGAACCTGGCAGTGTAGTTCTGATCCTTGATCTTAGGTAGATGAATATGTTGAACTCTATGACCTAAAAATTAAAATCTAAAATTCTAATTGAGCCGATCATGGCCAAAAAAATCCTTAAAAAATGATCTAAAATAACAAAATTTCTGAGAAATCGTTAAAAGGAAATATATAGTTAATTTTTATAAAATTTTAGATGCCAAAGAAATATTCTCAGATCCAGAAGTCAGTCCTGACTTTATATAGGGATTTCTTGAAGTTTGGAATCTCAAAGCCAGAGCCGTTAAGATCAGATATAATTAACTATGCTTCAGCTATGTTTAGGACTAACCAAGGGCTGAAGAGGACTAAGTTTAATAGAATTGAGTTTTTGCTCAGGCAGGAAGGCAATAAGTTGCAAGCTTGGAAGGATAGTAATTTGCAATCAATCTCAAGAGGAAGAAGAAATTAATAAAATATGCATATTTTGGTTTAAATGTTGGAGTAGAGGCGTTTGAAGGTTTTTATAGGGTAGGAAGCGAGATTTTACCTATATAGGATTTTTGAATTGGCTCGAAATCTGTTTGAGAAGTTAGATTTTGTGAGTGTTGAATTTTTTGGTTTTCTGATGAGGTCAGAGAATTTGTGTTAAATATGCTTGGTGTTCAGATATTTCACTAAATTCTCATCCTGTTTCAATTTGTTGTGAAACATAGACTTTATCGAGCTCTTATTTTATTCTAAAACTCTCATTATTCACAAGTTTTCTCTAAACTAAAGAATCTTACTTATATTTCTTCTTCATATTATTTTCATTCATCTTGGCTTGATTTCTGAAACTTGTCTGCCCAATGATATTATAATCATCTTCAAGATCTACAAAAATATTCATTTTAGTATTATAACTGTGAAAATGTCTTCTGGGAGTTTTTAGAACAGTTTTACATTAATTTTAAGCTTACAAGGGGCTCTTCTCAAATTCATATTTGTATTCAATAATTCTTAATGCAGAGGGGTTTTGGGGTTTTGGGGTTTTGGGGTTTTGGGGTTTTGGGG